ATTGTGCCATCCCCCAGAGCAGAGCTTTCCCTTTCAACCTGCTGGAAATTGTGCAGGGATACAGCTCCAGCAGATTTTGGGGGCTGGGAAATACACCCCACAAAATCCTTACCAAAATATGAACAAAGCAAAGCGAGGAGTGTGAAATAAACCTTGCTGGGAACTGGATTTTTTATTTCCTTATTCAGGCCTTAAAATTTAAAATGTTTAACCTTCTGCACCTATGAAATAGCTCAGAGCACCTGGGGGTGGAATTGGGGGAGTTTAGGATGAGCCAAAATCTTATTTATTCCACTTTAAAATGATATCCCAGGAAACAGGTGCCTGTGAAGTGTTATGCTGTTGTGATCTCTGGTTAAAAAAAAAAAAAGCAAAACCGACAGCCAAACAAAACCATCAAAAATTAAACTACACAGAAGTTAATAATGTTTAAAAAAATTACTTTCTGGATAATGGGGAGGAAGCTTTCATGGAAAGGTAAACATTGGTTACTGATTGTTTAAATGATTTAAATATTCCCAGCTGAAGTTTGGAGTGCTGGAAAGGCTGAGAAGAGGCACTGTCGAGTTCTGAAAATAAATCTGCAAACACATTGAGAAAAGATTTATTTACAGGTTGCTAAAGAATATAACAGACAGAGATGAACAAATTTCATGAAAAATTCTATTTTTACCAATATTTTAGGTAGAGAACTTKCTCAGGACCCAGAGCACAGAAATTTAACTGCTGAGGGATCAAGTATCAAGACTTTTGTAGCAATTACTCAGAAATATTCAGGGGTTTCTTAGAAGTGTTTTTGTCTTTTATCAGCTGTCATCTGCTGGATTTTTGGAAGCTCAGAGCGTTTCCATTCAGTGTGTTTATGGCTTTTTTTTTTTTTGGAGCCACCCATGTGCTTGGTGCTGGTGCCAGAAAATCGATTCGATCCTSTTCCTGCAAGCTCTGCTTTGCTGCACCCTTTAAACTGATCCTAATGCTGGAGGAAAACTTAATACTCCAGAGGTTTGAAAAAAAAAAAAAAGGCATTACAGCACAGATTGAAAGGATTAGCGTGGGGTTCTATAATTCCCAATGATTTCCAGTCGGGATTTGAAAAACYCTTTTTGTTTTCTCTTATCAGCTGTGAAATATTCTGGCAGATTTATTCCCCTTTTTTTCTGAACTCTCCTGGTGGGTGGGTGTTCTGCCCCCTTTTTAATGTATTTTATTGAATTGTGGAGTGGTTTAGGTTGGGAGGGATTTTAAAATTATCCCATTTCTCCCCAAAATGGGCAGGGACACCTCCCACTGTCCCCAAACCCCAATGTCCAACCTGGCCTTGGACACTGCCAGGGATGGAGCAGCCACATTCATTCATTTCCCTGAATCTCAATAAAAATAAATAAAACATAGAGAACATCATTAAATTATGCAAAATAGAATAAATAAGTAATACTTATGTAATGGCATTAAATAAATGTGCTATTTTTCTGCAGAGTGCARAGGCTTTGAAATACCTTGTAACACTTAAAAAACAAAAAAAGCAGAAGTAAAACCGAAAAAAAATGATCCAAAAAGGAGCTCTGTGAAGGATTTTTGKTTTTCTTTTGCATTTAATTTCTACACTTAAGCTTCTACTTCAGCCCTGAGGTGTGATTTTTCTACCTAGTGAGAAAGTAATTTTTTCAGACAGAAACATTTCTTTATCTGCACTGATTGTGGCTTAATTCATGTGATTTGTCAGAGTTCTCCATGTCTTGCACAACCTCTAATAAAGCTCTTCCACTTTTAATGTAATTTGAATTTTAATGTAATTTGAATTTTAATAGAAATTGAACGGAAATTGAATGGAATTTTAATGGAATTTCTGTTTTAATGGAATTTGAATTTTGATGGAAATTGAATGGAATTTTAATGGAATTTCAATTTTAACTGAATTCCAATTTTAGTGGAATTCTGCTCTGGTGCAAGCCAGGATATGACCAACCTTGCTGCTGATTCTGGGAGATCTGAAATGCAGAAGGGTAAACTTAAGCTAATAAATGCAAGTTGGATCAACTCCTCCAGGAAACATTTATTAAGAAGAGAAGTTCTGATTGGATTCAGAGTAAGCTGTGGTATATTGACAGTTGTGATCCCTGAATTAGAAACTGATTTGATTATATTTTAAATTCCTGCCAGGAGAAAATTGTGGTATATTGACAGTTGTGATCCTTGAATTAGAATCTGATTTTATTTGATTTTAAATTCCTGCCAGGAGAAAGTTGAGGTGCATTGACAATTGTGATCCTTGAATTAGAAACTGATTTTATTTGAATTTCCTGCCAGGCTCACTTGGAGCTGGACAGCAGTTCCGTGGATGTGCAGACTGAAGAGGATTTTAACCTCCTCAAGATGAGCAATTCCAAGAGATACGAAGTTCTCAAGGAGATCCTGACCTGCCTGGGCCTGAGCTGTGAATTGAGGGAGATTCCTGCCCTGACTCCCATTTACCTGCTCTCCCCAGAYGAGGTGAGCAGGGAAATTCAGCATTTTCTTACTCTCACTTTGCTTCTTGGGGGGTGTTTTTGTTCCGAGAGTTTTGTGCAGATATTGCAGGTAAGGCAAAGATTGAATTTCTAATCCATCGCTGGTTTGTTCCCTGCTGGGAGGAATTCTGAATTTCACCGTGGGGGAATTGTGCAGGGTTGATTTTATTATATTTCTGTATATTTTTTTATATTTCTATATCCTAGATTTGCTGTATTTCTGTTAAGAACTCCTAATACTTCTGAAATATCAGAACACAAGGCTGTAGTGCTGCTGAAAGAGCTGCTGTAAAATTCAGGATTTATTTTTCTTTTAAATCGAGAGAAAAAGTTGAGCCAAGGCTGGCAGCAAAAGGTGAAATGAAAATTGTTGAGAGCAGAGTGGACAGGGAAAAGGGTGGGATTGACAGGGAAAACCTGGATTCCTGAGGATGCTGCATTTTTTCCTGGCAATATTTGTGATTAAAAATCAGCTCTCAGTGCTGGGCTCCTCCATTCGAGATGCTGCTCTGAGGAATTTCTTGTTTTTCTTMAAAAAACCCTTGTATTTCTTGAAAGCACGACTTCAAATCCAGTTGTGAATTCATTCTCTCTTTGTGTGGCAATGTGGAAACAACTCTAAACTCCATTTGGCCTTTTTGACAATATTAAATGTGCTCTGGACATGGGAGCTGTTTCTTGAACTCTTCCCATATTTGCTCTCCTCCCTCATTATTTCTTTTCGGGTTTTTTTTCTTTCCTGTACCCTTGGACTTTTCGAACTTGCCATGAATTAAAATTCAGCTCATTTCTATCCAAACTTGCCATCTAGTGGCACATTCCAGCGTTGCAGACCATCCAGTAAAGTTCTTTTAATTATATATTTTTCATTTAAAATTTACACCACAATTCGTTTTTAATTTTTCTCGTAAATTCTGTCAATAAATTCTTTTATTCATAAACTTTATCCATTTTTAATGTGGTTTAATGGGATTTTAATAATTTTAATCCCATATTTCAATGATAGTTTTGCTTTGTATAGTCACTTTTTTGTATTTTTCCCTTTAGCCRTGATAAATTTCCAGAATATTCTGTTTGCAATTTGTGTGTGACAGCTACAGCTGCTAATRAGGAGCGAGCACATTAAAATAATTAATCATTAATATTTAATTAAYAGTAAATAATGAAGTTAATAGTTTAGCTTTCTCACGCATTATTTATTTYTCTCCATCCAGCATGTTCTCCTTGCTTTCCCAGAGAGCCAGGAGATACTAAAAGTGAGAATTATTTGAAGAAATCCTTAATTTTATTGACACCAAGTGATTTTAGGATGATTTTCACAGAAATCCCCATAAGAAAAATGCCTTAATGAGCCTTAATGAGCCAAACAAGCTCAAGGTCCAAAAATAATGACAAATACTTTTATTGTTCCTAAGATTTGGCAGTTCAGGAATGATTCCTCACTCCCAAAATGGAATTTTTTTAAACACTTTGTGTTTTAAAACTGTTTAAAACCCTCCCCAGTCATGTTTTTATAATTAATTTTAGGAACCCCAAGCTCCTTTTGCTTATGGGGATGAAATAATAATTGGTTTTGTTCTGCATTTTATACTCTATCAAGAAAAAACAAAGCTGAAGGGTTTTTTCTGTAATTTTAAATTCTTTCTATTTTAAGGGCTGATTTAGTGAGTTTTATTCTTAATTTTAAAGCAGAGCTGGGATTTCTTTGGTGTCTCTTGCACTTTTTATCATTTCAGAACTTTCAYCAGACCTGTTTTGTGCTACATTGTGGGCATCACATGAAATGCTCAAATTTATTCTATGAACAAACAGCTTCTCTTGACTTTTCTTCTCTTAAATCCCTGCACAATCTGTGTTTTTCTGCRTAATTTTTGAGGTGCTGTAATAATCCCATCAAACCTATGCTGATGGGCATAAATYTGATTTTTAGGAGTTTCAGGTCTCCCTCTCCACTCTGTGGGTGTTGGTTGGTGCCRTTTGCAGTGGAATTTTAAGCTGTTCCTGAGGGGTGGATTTAAAAAGGAAAAATCTAAAAAAATTTAAGAAAAATTTCAAAGAAAAAAGGCAATTTTTTTCTTTTCCTCCTTCATGTTTGGAAGTTGTAATTCCATGTGGTTATCACGGACGTTAAAAACCGCAGTGCTGCTGCACGGGTTAAAAAAAGCTGAAAAACCATGAGCAGAGCTGGAATGATACTATTATATTATTATATTTTAAATTTAAATAATTGGAATTATTATTATATTTTAAACTGAAACAAAAACT